GTCAACAGAGCATATCCTACCACGCACATATAGTGAAAACAGAGAACTGATCACAAAAGATGATGTCACTGGGAAAAGTGGGGGAAGCAGGCAGTAGGAAGAAAGGAAGTTCTATGATGAGGCAGATTATCTCAATAAAGGTAGCTACAGTAATTAGTTTGCAAGACATGAACAGCACTTACAGGAAAAGACAATATTGTTTGGGGGAGTGCAGTAGAGCAAGAGAACAATCTCTTATGAGATGCTGTTGGTTTGCAAGATGTGAGCAGAGCTGTTAATGATAGGACATTCTGGAGGTCATATATTCACCACATATCAGAAGTGACTTAATGGCACATAAAGTCTTAGCGTTTTTTTCCCCTTTAATTTTCAGAATTGTATACTGACAAGATGGATAGAATGACTGAAATAATGACAAGATGTAAACACCAAAGCCCAACTAGCATAGAGTAAAAGCAAAGCAAAAAACAGTAATTGTACATCTTAAATGAGTGAGCTTCTGACGATTTTTCCCTATTCTTGTTTAAATATCTTTTTAAAATTGTTTACAGTTAGACACAGAATTCCTTTGCCAGCATGAATGCCTGTTTGAACATGAAGGAGTTAAAAAGTTCTCTTCCTGATAGCCAGCTAATTTTGTCCTGAGTGACAGGGTTATAAATTGAGATTGCCCCAGACCTGCAGTTGATTTCTCCTTTGAAGGCTAGTGTCAAGAACCTGGTTTCAGAAATGTTTACTGAAAGCACCCAGGGGTACAGAAACACAACTGCTCTGTCCTTTTCTAATGCAGAAACACTTGGAATATGTTTTACACATTTGTATGCTAATATCCTGGAGATAAAAAGCTAATTGTCTCTTTCTGGAGAACTGTAACTCTATTGTTTTCTTTAAAGCAAGTCTGTTTTATTATTATTATTATTCAAAGAGAACCTGTTTTTTGACAGCTTGTGTGACCTTTCATTGCCCTCCAAATATCTCCCTTCCCCACCACAAAGCTGAAACAATGTATTTACTTTGGAATTGTCTTTGGGGTGACTCTGTTCCATTTTTTAGAAAAAAAAATGGATCATGTCTGTATATGTACTGTATCAACACAATATAAAAGCATCATGTGCCCATATTTTATATTTAATCAGAAGTATATCAATTTATGTGTTTCACTTACCTCCCATATTCATATCCATTTAGAGGAATAAAATCCCTGGTTCACTTATCTGCTGAAAATATTACAAGTACGTGTCATTCATGGTGGTCTGTGGTTCTGTTTGATAGATCCTGGTAGCCACTGGGTGACCCTATTTTGAACATTGCATGATAAGAACTTGAAGAAGGGACAATTCTTTAGGCTACAACTCTCAGAATCCCACAGTGGTCATGGTGGCCAACGTATTCTGCTGCTGTTGCTTTGGGGAAAAAAAACAACTTTTCTAAGCTGCCCAAAATGTCAATATCCTATGAGATCTACAGAACCTGAGATCTATAGAACTGTTCCCTTGAGGTGCTGTTTCAGTAGCACAGCTTTGGTAAATATAGTATGCATTCCAAACTTGCACCACATAAATTGGATCACAATCAATATCATTTGGTCCTTTCCACATTTGTTCTTGATAAGTGCTGTTTCAGTAGCACAGCTTTGGTAAATATAGTATGCATTCCAAACTTGCACCACATAAATTGGTCCTTTCCACATTTGTTCTTGATACTATTGCTTCAACAATAAACACAAAGATCTAATGCAATATTAAGATAGTAGTTAGTTCAGTCACACAGCAGTCCTGACACAAGGCTACTGTCTCATTTTTGTAGACAGAACTGCAATGTTGAATCAACTGACAATAATAATAAAGTATTCAATGCAAACATTTCCCTTTTTTTATTTCCACAGACACTGTTTCTTTCAGAACTTCAACACCATGAGGAAGCTACATTATTTTGTACACAATCCTGTGGAAATGTCATTGACATGTTTTATTATTTGATAAAAACTAGGTTGGCTGAGGGTTTTGTAGGCTTAAGGTGTATGTGTGCATGCATATACAACACACACAGTAACACATGTACTGTTGAACCAGTTCAGCTTGAAAGAGTTACAGCTGTTTAAGACAAGTCTTGATGGTCTACAAAGGCCTGCCTTAAACCCGAGGGGAAATGCAGGTCAGATCAACAATTTGGCACTGTGTCAGTCGTACATGGGCATTAAAGTGCCTTCTTGCACCCAAAACAAGATGCTTCTGTATGCATGGCAATGGACAAAAGCCTCCCATTTGATTTCTGAACAGATCTGAACTTGTGTCTGCAGGTCTTGCCAATGTCTGTTTCATTTGAAATGAGAGCTTTTCAAAAAGAAAGACTTACAAACAAACAAAAAGGGGGAAAAGAAATGCACCCTTCATTGTCATCTTTTTATTTATAATGAGAAGTTCTTTGATTTGCTTAAAACGCACCCAAGAATAATAACCCTAATTGTGAACTTGAAAAGATACAGACGGTGCAGAATAAATAACTTGGATAAACATAACCAGGCTTTGTAGAAAAATTACATTGTCATAATTGAGATCACCTCAGTCCTGTGAGTCTTTCTCATCAAAAAAAAGCAAATTATGGATGGAGCAGGTATGTGTCTGAAACCAGGTTGGGTAAATCTTTCCATTTTGCCTTTTTGTACATGTGAGAGGTTTAAAAAATAAAAGAAAATATCTCCCTCCCAGTTTGTGTAGAAAGTGGTGAATACTGGGAAGTTTTTATTGGGGCAAGAGGGCAAATAAAATCCACAGTCATCAGAACTGGCCAAATTCAACTGATAGAGTTATTCCAAATATAAAGACAAACATGGCCTCCCTGTCTAACATGTAGTTCTGAGAGACGAGGCATATTGTCTCACAAAGGAATGTAGTACCTCAAAGGCAGTGAAGACCATGATTCAAAGCCTGAATATCAATTTTAAGTTTTAATTTTAAGATCTTCTCTCTAGTTGGGTGTAGGTTAGTTGCGTGTTCTTCCACACTTGTTATATTAGATGTCAATTTCTTTCTAATAAATTTGTAAACAATTCTGTGAAGCCCTATGTTAAAAAAAAAAAACAAATCCAACAGTCTTGTCATCCATCCCTATCTGAAAACACAGGTCTGCTCTCAAAGAGTCGAAATTTGTTGTTCACTTAAGAGTTAATCTGGGTCTGATATAGTGCAATGTGAAAAACCATGCCATGGAAATTGCTATCAAGGAAGGATGTTTATGACTAAAGCATACCTCAGTCCCATTTTCAGCAGGAAACTGTGTATGAAAACCAAAACAGCATTAAATACTTAAGACTGTAATCTTACATATGCTTAGCCACAGAAATCAGTGGCCAAAATACTGCTGAGTTTTCATATCAGCATAACACAATCAGTGTACATCTAATTGGGAAATCACTGCAAGAAGTAAGCATAGCCACTTCCTCCAACTTCGCATGCGATAGCAAATGCCCACCTTGACTTCTCCACTTGCCACAATCTGCCAACAAGATTTACAGGAATGCTGTTATACCAGCAGATGTAACTAGCAGGATTTTGGCCAGTGATGCTTACTTGTGGATAAACAAGAAGAGGATTCCATTATTAGTCACCATCAATTATACGCACATTGCTGTCATGTCAGTCTGGTATGTCCCCAGAGCACAGATCCCTGGTGAATTACTGTTGTAGCCCAGATTCCAGCAACTCAGTTTAAGCCAACATGCTAACTGTACATTTTTACGTACTTGACATTACACTTAAACTCTACCAGATATTTAATCTGAGGAATGTTGGGTAGTTGTGGCTGACAAGGTGCAAATATATCAGTGGAAGGCAACGGGTGGCCTAGGCCCCACAAAGGCCTTCTGCGGCTCTCCAAATCTTACCAAAGCCCCTCCATACCCAACAAGCAGAAGGAAAAAAAGATTAAAAGGGATGTTCTGCTGCTTGGGGTTCCCAAGCATGGTAGTTTTTCATTAGAAAGGACAGATAGTTCCCTCCAAACCCACCCCTAAATCACAATATCAAAATGAGAAGTTGTTCCGATTGTCTGCTGCCACTCCGCAGTGCTAAAGCACTCTCTAAGCAGTTTACAACATAATTATGTGAACAACACTTTGCCGTGCAGACATGCTAGTTTGGTTTCTTTGCAATATTTTTGGTCCATTTCCAGATCTGGCATGGCCCATGATGGGCTTGAAAATTAGGCTCCAGCCCCACCCAAGCTGTCCAGATTTATATAAATGCACAAATAACTTATTGGTGGTTATTTGAATTCTAGTTTCTAAGTGAAGTACACTGGCTATAGCATACTGATGTTTTCTTTGGAATGTGCATAATCATAGTAAGAGCCAATCATATAAATACAAAAACTCCAGCTCATTGATTTGCTCATATATTTACAATAAATTCTCAGTAGTTTTTGAAATTTCCCAGGGGTAAGTGTCAAACCAGTGGTGCACAGAAGACGATAGCAGCATTATACTGATGATTGTCCAAAATCTGACTCAAATTGCCAGGCAGGGAAAGTAGCAAAAGTTTTGCTTTTATGTCTTTAACAATCCTGGATGAAACATGTACACAGCTTTTGTCCACCAGCTGCAACTTCTAACAACTTTTCTGATAAATATCATTCTAAATACAAGATGTTTAAATATTGGCAGACCTTGGATGCATACCATTCAAATATCTTTTTAAAAAACATTTAATTTCTCTTGCATCATTACATGGCAACGTTATGTGCAATTTGAAGACAGTGTTCATACATGTGGACTAATCCCTAACCAATATACACCATCCTGTTGTGTAACTAAGTATACAGGTGCTTTTTAAGAAAATAAAGGGTAAATAATGCCAATAGAAGGGGGGAATTGCAATGAAAAATACTTTAACCTTGTTTTCAGCAAACAAATGAGGGATTGTCATGCAAGACTGGAGAAATATGGCAAAGAAAATTGAATGTCCTCCCAAAATCCAGTCACACAAATCTCATAATTTACTTGGGGGGGGGGGAATGTGTGTGTGAGAGAGAGACATATTGCCTGCAAACTTTCCCATGGCTTCACACAGTTATCCCTGAGAGTTTCTTTCCACTCAGATTACTGCTGTGCTTAAAATGTCTGATTGATGACACATTATAAGGCACTTTTATTTACAAAGTTTCCACCTAAGATAGTACTTGTAGTTTCTGATTCGGTCCCTCCAAAAGGTTTTTCAATTTATTTTCATTATAGCTATTTATTTACTCTATGTCTGCTGTTCCAACACCTCCAGGTAATCAGGTTCTGCATGCAAGTTGGCCTTGAGCTCAAAATACTCATTTTTAGTCTGTTCTAGTAAAACCTTTCTTGGCCTGGAGTACATGAGTGTCTCCATAAGCTTGAGTTCTTCATGAGCTCCTGGATAATGTACTTCCATATCTGGGTGTAACTGAGCAATGTTTTTCCGCAGATACTCAGTTATCCCTAGTTGCTGGAGTTCTCTTTCTTTCTCAAGAATATTCCTGTACAAAGAGCTTGCGTCCTGGAAAGACAGAAATTCAGCTGATTGGTCTGCAGCTTTGTATTTGACCTTTGACCCTGTCAAAGGGGACGAGTGTTCCTTTTCCAACAGGCTTCGGCGAAGGTGTCTGGAATCATTTGTGCCCTTGTCATTCCGGTCTTCTTGACGGTCTGCAAATTTGGGGCTGAAAGATGGGCTTCGGTAAACTTGAACCATGGGACCGATCATGCGCTGTTCATACAAGGTTGTGGATGGGTGCTCAGTGGTGTGGTGTGTTGTTTTGTGACCATACATACTGTACTGAAGTTGCACCGGGCTGCTGTCCCGCATCTGCTCATCCACCTGCTTCTTTTTGTATCTTCTCCGTCGGTGCAGAACAAGGACAACGATACCGGCTGCACAAAAAATGATAGTTATAAACATAACCAAAAGGCCCAGGATCAAAACAGAAAGTGGGACGGCATCAGTGAGAGATCGTAGAATGGTGTCTGCTGTATTGGTGGTGGTTGATGATGTTGTGACAATAATGAAGCTAGCATGAGTTGGAAGGGCTGGGCTGTTGATCAAACCTGGACATAACATGTCCCTGTTCAGAGATTTCAGTTCTTTTTTAGCTAAATGCCTTGGAGATGAACAGAAAATTTCACCCATCATTGTATTTCTGCTCAGCTTTTGTATCCATTGCTGCAGGCCAATTGAGTCACAAGTGCAATCCCAAGGATTGTCCTCCAGCTCAATTTGTACTAATAGATCCAGATCATCCAAGATATTCCCTACAGACAAATGTGCAAACTGGTTTGTTTTCAGATTTAGCCTGGCTAGAGGAACTCCAGCAAAAATATGAGGTGGCAAAGTCTGAAGAAGATTATTATTTAAATACAGGACCTTAAGTTTAGGCATTGGGTTAAATGCTCCTGGTAAAATCTCTTTGATGGCATTATATTCAAGATACAGATATTCAAGATGCTGCAAACCTAAGAACAAATTCCGACTTAGCTGGGTGAGATGATTGCCATTCAGATATAATTTCTGCAGTCTGGTGAGATTTATAAAGGATCCTTCTTCTAAAATTTCAATACGATTGTTTCCCAAGTGAAGCATTTCCAGACTACCATAGTCTACAAGGTCTGATTTGAGTAAAGTCTGAATTATATTTCCAGCTAGAATAAGCTTTTTAGGATTTGGAGGAGGGGGTCCTAAATCTGAGAGGCTCTCAATGTTTTGTTCCTGGCATTGCATTAAAATCCCTGAAAGAATATGGCTCGTGCACTGGCATGGGATCGGACAATATATTCCAGGAAGCAGGGTAGCTGGTTTTGTTACGTGAAGTACTAAACTGGATTCCTTGGTAGGAGCTTTAAAAATAGGTATTACCTTGGTGGAGTAGTGATTATCGCTGACTGATGTAGTAACCACCAAGGGCAATGATCCTGATGGGGCATCAAGATCATTTGTAGGGTTTGTTGGGCAGAGTGATTCCTTTTTTAATCTACTTAAAATGCTGTCTTTCAAAATGGGAGGGCTGTGGCACACAATGTCACCTGTTATAGACTGGGGAGGCATATTTTCTAGCCAGCTCTTTAACTCCAGCAGGTCACAGTTACAGACCCATTTATTATCTTCCAACTGAAGGTCTAGAATTCTGCCAATATGTTCTAAAAAACCAACGTAAGGCAGAGTCTGCAGCTGGTTCCCACGAAGATCCAAATGAGTTAATGGCACAAAGCGGAATACATTAGGAGGAAGAAACTCGATGGCATTGTCGTTTAAAATGAGCACCTTAAGCTTGTTGAGCTTGCTGAAGGCACTTGGTTCAATTATTGTGATGAAATTATTGTCTGCTTGAAGGAATTCCAGACTTTCCAGCCCATGAAATGTGTCCTCTTTAAGCATTTCTAAAGAATTGTGGTTGATATGAAGTTGCTTAAGGAGACTTAGACCATTAAACGCACCTGGTTCAATGTCTTCAATGTAGTTAAATCCTAGGTGTAGGGTGAGAGCATTGACAAATCTGGAGAAATCATTCTCATGTAATAGAGTCAAACTGTTGTTTAGAAGACTAAGATGGAAAGGCCGAGATGGTGGAACCTGTACTTGAGATAACTCCTCAATGCCTCTGCCTTCACAGTATATAAGAAAGATGCCATCCTTTTCTTCACAATAGCACAATGCCTCACAAGATCCAATGGATGAAGGGAAAGCTGGTTCATACTGGAATACATCACAAGCAACCCCCATCAAACTTAATGTAATTATCCAGAGCTTCATGGTCTTCCAACAGCGTCTGTAAAATATAATAATCAGAAACAGATTTTAAGATTATCTCATCAGATTTGGAAGGGAAGAACTGTATGGATCAATATGCAAAACAGCCATTGTAGGAAGAAAAAGAGAAAATAAAACAATAATTCCCCAGGTAAAATGGTCATTTGATGAGCTACAGGGTGCTTCAGTCCCATCCCCCCATATATTTACCAGAAATGCAGTTACAGTTGATTCAACACTGACCCCAACATAAGAAATCCCCTTGCTTCCGAGTGGGTATGGCCATTCAGATTTAAGAAATGAGCTGTTGCTATTCTGTGGAACATCCATGTGTTGCTTTTTCCATTATTTATAACAAAAACTTCAAAAAACAGACTTACTGTCCTGAGAACCTGCAGCATAGACAGACCACAGAAATGCTGTGCTCTGCATGTATTTGGTGCCAAGACAAATTTGGAAATTTGGATAAAAGGGGAAAAGATGAATGTTGTTCCAAACTACATCCAAAGGTTCAAAACAAAATTCAAAGGTCCATATGAATAAATAATGTAACTTAGGACAGTAGTTGTCCCGTAGCAAAGTTATATAGGGAGAAATCAGGACACAGAGAAAGAAAAGGCTAGAATTCTAGTGATGTTCATATTAAAAGTTGTGTAGCTTGCTGCAGTCATATGCAGCTAATTGACAGGTTACTGGGTCACATCTCAATTGCACAATCAGGCATGCGACCATATACATGACTGAACCACACCTCATAATCTCATCATTTAGCCATTGAAAGTTACACCATATATGAACACCGATAGGAGTCTGGTAGTAGAAGAGAAAATACATTTTCTGTAAAGAACTCAGTCTGGTACAGATTTGTATGACTCCTTTCTCACTTCCACACCCCTTCCTGTGATCGCTCAGTGGAGTTTTACAATGATAAACTATTGTAAGTGCATCTAATTGGTACAAAATGCTGCAGCCAGCCAGCCAGCCAGCCTAAACAGAGCTGGATACAAGGAGCATGTAACTCCCCTGTTACAAGAGCTATACTGGCTTCTGGTTTGAGCATGTAACTCCCCTGTTACAACAGCTATACTGGCTTCTGGCTCGTTTTCAGGTATGATCCAAAGTGTTTTTGACCTATAAAGCCTTGTACAGCAGCTGTTCTCAACCTCTTTTTGGCCTCAGCTATAAACACAATATGAACGAAAGATAGGCTGAATCAGGATTGTAGAAGTCACATAGTGAACCTTATGAGGTGGTGTGTGAAGAATTGTTTCCAGTCTGTGGCCCCCTTCAAATGTGCCAGGGCCCCCCAAGGGGCCATGTGCCCTCCCCTATTGAGAATGAGTACTGTATGGCTTGGGTCCAGGCTATCAGTCCCCATGAATGCCCCCATGAATGCCAAGATCAGCAGAAGAGGCCATTCTTTCAGTTCCAGCATCTTTACAGGTACATCTGTAAACGATGCAAGAGGAAGTTTTTCAGTGGCTGCTCCCAGACTATGAAATGCCCTTCCTCAGGAAGTTAATTTGTTTCCCTCTTTGCTATCCCTCTGCCAGCAGGCAAAAACATTCCTTTAGAAGCAGACATTTCACATTTCAATGTGAGTATTTTATCGCATGGCGGGTAGCATGACAGGTAGTAGTCCATTATATTTTAACAATGTGTTAACAAGTTTCTTATTAGTTTGATTTTTGAAAATGTTTTATTTATTATTCATTGTGTTTTTTTGTTTTTTTGAATCTCATATGGAGAGAAAGGCAGCATGCAAGCACATAAACAAAAATTAATTATTGTGTGATCCGTATGAATTAATTTGATTCAGTCTAATGAGTGGGAAAAGCCTTAAGAAGGGACTGTTTGTAAAGTTTCTGTAGAGAAAAAAAAGAATGAAACAGAATTGAGAGGAGCTTCTGTTCCTAAGGCCCTCATCATCTTTATTTAGTTAATGTCGATATATGCATGCAGGAAGGAGAGATAGACAGCATTTGAACCTGTCCTTCTCTTTTATTTCACGGCCCAAGTTGCATCGATTTTTATAAGTCAAGGGACTTTCCCTCTTTGAGCCTTGGAACCTTGTAAATGAGGAAAACTTTGCAGCCTGATACCTCTGAACTGGACAGGCACGTGGCACCTTGTTTTCTATGGGTAACTTCTGTCACCTTGTCTGTGGAGAAAACTCTTGGGCTCCCCCTCCCAACATTTTTTTCTGGAATTCAATTTGGGCTGATTTTATCTTATTGTTGTTCTTACTATTATTTGATTTACAGTTTCAGAGCTTTGCAAATTTAATTGCGTTTGCAGTGCTCATTTACAAAGCAGCCCAATAAGAGAACAGCACAATGGCTCCACTCAGCTCCTGTCAAACTTTTGAGGGTCCAATGTATTTGCGAAGGCTTTCACGGCCGGGATCTAATGGTTGTTCTGGGTTTTTCGGGCTCTTTGGCGGTGTTCTGAAGGTTGATCTTCCTAACGTTTTGCCAGTCTCTGTGGCCGGCATCTTCAGAGGACAGCACCCTTTTGAGGGTCCCTTTGGGCACCAGCTTGATGGCACTGGGATTGTTCCCCCATGCACCAGTTATGTCAGAAGACCAGTATCTTATGGGAGAAGCCCACAACCCTATTCCTTGTTATGCAAACATTGTAGCAGCTTCTAAAAGTCACAGTCCCTGTGTGAGAAGGGGATCAATTCCAAGTCATTTCAGGAAGAGCACAAACCATGAGCGAATTGGGAGTCTCGGCTACTTATATGTCCTAAATGCCCAGCTGACACTGTGGAATGCCACAGAAGTTCCATCTTGTTCTCAAAATGGATGTTGAATATACAATTACAATGTGTGTGTTTTTCTATTTTACTGCTTATTGTTTCTGGAAGGATTCTACTACAAAGAGCTCTGTAGCCTGAAAATCCTGCCTCATATTACCTACATACACTAAATATATGAAGCAAGCCACATAAAAGTGAAGAAAGTACCACTTCTGCCATGCAGCTGGCACTCCTTGTGCAATCTTTACATGTGACTACTCAGAGGCATGTTCTGAGGAATTAAATTTGATTCCCTCCCCCCTCTCAAGTAAGGTGCACCCTCAATCTCCTACAACAACCATTCAACCCTCCTGCAAAGTTTATGAGTAGGTATCAGTCCTTATTCCTGCATCATTTACAAGAATGTGATTCTGTCAGGTTTGGGAAAGCCCTAGGATTTGTAAAACTACAAAAAGTATCTGGAAGTACCGTGCAAACTCAAAACAATGCAGTCAAGATTTCTCAGCAGCTACAGAACATCCAGTCTGTTGGACACCAAAACTTGGAGGAAGGCGAGTGAGATCAGCTGACTGGTATGGTGGAGGCTATGGCCACCGATACCCAAAAGGCTTCAATAGGACACTGATCCTCTGGCCAGTAAGCCAGAAGGCTACCTAAGAGATAAATCAAGGAACATAGAGGGGATTAAGGAGGAGACTGGGAGGTGAATTGTTATCCCTCTGTCTCTTCCTCTATTGTTATTTGATCCATTTTAATCTCTTTTCCTCCTATAAGAGAAAGAAGCAGCAGAAGTGAGAGGAAGGGGGGGAAGACACCTTCTTGTCTGTATATATCATTTCCTGATTTACAATGAAATGCTATTTCAAATGTTGTTGGAGACAGAAATGAGAGCTTTGCATAGAAATCAATGCACAAATCCAAGATTTACAGTAGTGGGACACTGTCCTCCAAAACAAGCAAGCAAGCAAGCAAAAATCCTTCCTTTCCCTTTCATTTCTTGAATTAGAACATTTTAAACAGCCCATTTGAAAATGGCCCTACGAATGCCAAATCCCAAGCAACTGTGCTCATAATCCTGGACTGTGTGTTGGAAAGGGTGGCTGCTGCTGGGAATGGTGTATACAACAATCCTGCAATGTGATTCATACTAACTCCACATGTCAGCTTTAAGCAGTATGTATCAACCTGCGGTGCTCCCGACAGGTATTACACCCTTGTCACATATTGTGGTGGTGGTGGTTGTGCTGAAACTGAATCTTGACATACAGCTCTCTTTTTCCATGATTTAGGGATGAGGGAGTGTACAATGAGCTTGCAAAGAACTTAATTGGATCGCTGTCAGGGTCGCGACTAACCTCTACCTGGCTAAGGTAAAGGCTGCTGCTCGTGCATACTTCGCTAACCTGATAAGTGAAGCATCCAACCAGCAGGCGGAGTTATTCCGTATAGTACGCGACCTATCCGGAATTGGTCTGAGTGATGGGCCTCCCCCTAGTTTTCACCCGACCAATTTGCAGCATTTTTAAAATCTAAAGTGGAGGCCATCCACCAGGAGCTCTCTCCTTTTTTAAAGTGAGTTGAGCAGAGATGTCCAGAGCTCCGTCTTGCCTGGTGATCTTGGATCACTTTCAGCCCGTGACGCTGGATACTGTGGACAAAGTGCTTGATCGCTGTCATGCCACCACCTCCTCCCTTGACCCTTGCCCAGCCTGGCTAATCAAAGCAGCCAGGACTACAACAAGAAAATGGGCCACAGCGATAATTAATGGGTCTTTCCTTGAGGTCTTTCCATTAGGTCCATAAGAAAGAAACCGAACTTGGCGGCAGATGAAATTGGCAATTACAGGCCCGTCGCCAATGTTTCTTTCATCAGTAAAGTGGTAGAGAGGGTGGTGACTGACCAGCTTCAGGCTCTTTTCGATGAAACAGATGCGCTGGATCTGTTTCAGTTGGGCTTCAGGCTGCACCATGGTACAGAGACGGCATTGGTCGCCCTGTACGATGACCTGTTGAGGGAGACTGACAGGGGTAAAATATCTCTGTTGGTCCTTTTCGACATCTCGGCAGCCTTTGATACTGTCGACCATGGTGACCTCCTGGGGAGGCTCTCTAAGTTGGGAATTGGTGGCCTGGCCCTCACCTGGCTCTGTTCCTTCTTGGGGGACCACCCCCAGAGAGTACAGCTTGGGGAGAGTGTCAGCCCCATGCAATCTCAATTGTGGGGTTCCACAGGAGTCGATTACCTCCCCAATGCTATT